CCGGTGGGACATGCCTGGAACACCTCACCCAAGAGGCGCCCAGGGGGCATCCTTGTCAGATGCCCGAACCACCTCAGCTGGCTCCTTTCGATGTGGAGCAGCAGCTGCTCTACTCTGAGCCCCTCCCGGATGGCTGAACTTCTCACCCTATCTCTAAGGGAGAGGCCAGCCACCCTTCGGAGGAAGCTCATTTCTGCCGCTTGTATCCGCGATCTCGTTCTTTCGGTCACTACCCACAGCTCGTGGCCATAGGTGAGGGTAGGGACGTAGATCGACCGGTGAATTGAGAGCTTCGCTTTTACACTCAGCTCCCTCTTCACCACGACGGACCGGTGCAGCGTCCGCATTACTGCAGCTGCAGCCCCAATCAGTCTGTCGATCTCCGGTTCCCTTCTCCCATCACTCGCGAACAAGACCCCGAGATACTTGAACTCCTCCACTTGGGGCAGGAACTCATCCTGTAAAATGGTTACTTGGAAGCAAAATGATTGCTCAAGTACTCTATAAATTTTAGTGTGTGGGTGAAAATACAAAATGAGATATGAGTTGTAATTGCAGGTATACAATGGGAGATAGCGATGGCACCCGAACTTGTCAGTTGGACGGATGGAGTAGTACTGTGCCAGTATGTGAAAGTAAGTCTTTCAGTCAACACACCAGCAATGTTACTTTTATCGACATTTGTAGTTTGAACTAGCTTAACAGTGTATATTTATAAGGTCCTCTGCTTACACTCGAAAAATGTGAAAATTTCAGTCGTCCTGTTAGGTATGAGAAATGAGCTTGCTGTATATACCCTGTGTACTACATTTTAAATATATATTGCTCAAGATTTGTACCAATTCCTGTGGATCCATATTGCACCTGCGATGGTATCACATGACATATAAAGCAAGAACTAGTGCTTGTATATAACCCAACCAGTCACTTAGGACAGTGTTTACCAACCACTGTGTCGCAGCACATAGGTGTGCTGTGAGCAATGATCAAGTGTGCCATGGAAGATTATCTGATTTCACCTGATTACTACTCTAAGCGATCGGTGTAATGGGCAGAACAATTTCATTCTCTTCCAATAGAGGGTAGTACAACTACCTGCTCTAATTAAATGGGTTGCCAACTGCCATTAAAACAGAAGAAGACAAAGAAGAAATTACATAATACTCATGCTGTAAAACAATGGAGCACGTAATAGCAACAGATAAATATTTGAAAAGAAAAAGTAATCAGTCTGACCTGGTCCTGGGGAAAATTCTGACCCAGATGGAGGCCCTAGCATGAGTAGTGGTCAGAAGAAAGCAAAAAGGGTATACTGGGAGCAGATCAAACCAATTCTGCTATGCTTGGTGTGCAGGTAAAAATTATCAATATACTTTTGTGGCATTTTTGTTTGGTGATGTTTTTTCGAATGTGAAATATGTTCCGTGGCTCCCAAAGGTTGGGAAACACTGACTTAGGACACCTAATACACCTTTCGGCTTTTTTCTTACATGAACCTTGAACTCATGAACATATACTTACAGTCCAGTACCTCAGTACATCTTTTTGCTGTTATCAGGCATTCAGGTTATGCTACTAGAGGTTCATACTTTTAGCACTTCTTCTTCACTCCCCTCTATTTATTTGTGACTTGCTTCTTTCTCATATAGTTTATTTATCTTTCCTTATCTTTTTGTGCTCTTGCGTCTTCACCTTACATTATGAAGCATCTTGCAAAAACATTTTTTATGAATTCTTGGTATATGAATAAAACGTAATTCATTTAATTTAATTGATCAAGGTCAGTGATGTGTCACTCATGGTGAAATGTGATTATTGTGATGAAAACATTTTTAAACTTCTATTTTTGTTGCCCATATTTGTAGCTGCCGAGGGTTGTGAGAAACCACCACATCTTTCAAATGGAGACCCGAAGGAAAGTTCCAGACTGCAGTACAGTCATAGTGAAAGGGTTGAGTACATCTGCCAGGATTACTACAGAATGGAGGGTGGGCCGTACAAAACCTGTGTAAATGGTCAATGGACTGGAGAGATGAGATGCCTCAGTAAGATGTAGATCTCTTTATATTTCTGCATAGTCCATTCTTTGCATTCTGCTTTCTTGCAATTCAGAGGGGAGCACTATGGAGCCATTTTGCAGCCGCTATGTGCAAAACTATAAAAATAGTATAAAGGAAGTATCCTTGCTCGTGTTTAACTCTCAAAATGCATGTTTGGTTATCTTTAAATAAGCTTCTCCATGTTTAATAGTAGCATTCACAGGGCATAATAAAAAAAACTTTATTATGTCTACAATCGCAATAATGACTTTTACTTATTGTTTTCAGGAATCCCTTGTGCAGTTGGAGTAATGGACCCTAATCTGCAGGTAACTGGATTACCACAAGGGAATGAAGCGATAAGGACTGGGGACACATTACATTTTCGTTGTGCTGATCAGTATAAACTGGAAGGTTCTGAAGTAATCGAGTGTTTAGAAATTGGGTACTGGAATGCTTCCTTTCCATCCTGCTCTGGTAGGTTTACTTTAACTGAGAAAAGCTGACGTGATTTGACATGTTTTTTAAATGTCCATATATTTGTGTAACAATTATGTAATCATTATATTTCATTTGTTAAACTTATATAACGATTAAGATTTACATTTTATTTGGTTCCTTTGGGTCTAGACTACTGCTGCATTACACTTTAAACTGAAAGATTAAAAGACTGTCTTCTTTAAAACAGATGAATGCAAAGTCACAAGAATATCAGACAGTGTAAGAATCACATCACACATACAAGGCAATCGGCTAAAGAAAGGACAAAAGCTAACCTTTACTTGCCTTAGACGTAACCACTTTATGCAAGGCAATAAAACAGTTGAATGTTTGGCAAATGGACAGTGGAGCGATCCGTTTCCAACATGCGGAGGTAAGCCAGTTTTTTTCTATGTCAACTCACCCGTAATATGTGACAAGAAAAGATCATCCAGTCACAGTGCACTGCAATTTCAGGAGGCTTTAATCACATTTTTTAATCCCCAAAACAGTTACGGTTACTTTTACTCAGGCAAAAATTACACGGGAAATGTTTTTGGACAAGTCTTGCGGTTGATCCTAATTACAATCACTGTGTAGGAAATGTCATGTACATATGCGAAGCCCAGTCAGTAATAAGCGCCCAGATAAGCTGCTCATGTTAATAACAGCTGTAAATATAAAAAAGAGAAGTCGGAATAAACCCCCAGTAATTTGGAGAGTTGAATCTCTAAAAGATTTACACAAAAATTTACTGTAAGATGTTGCATAATGGTACTAATAGTATTGTGAGTAGATATTAAAAAATGTTATATTAACAATTTCAAGTTTTTTGTTTGTTTTTTGTCTATATTTATTTAAGATCCTGTGGGTTGTGGGAAACCACAACCACTCTCAGATGGAGACACCAAAATCAGTACTAAAAGGCAATACAGCCATGGAGAAAGGGTTGAGTATATCTGTCAAAATTACTACAAAATGGAAGGTACACCATATAAAACCTGTGAAAATGGTAAATGGACTGGACAGATGAGATGCCTCGGTAAGTTATAGCTATATTATGTTGTATTTTCTAAGATTCTGCATATGTAAAAGTATTTTAGGGGTCCCAAGTTTTTTTTACTCTTAAATTTAGAGAAAATTGAGTTTACACAGGAATCAGCCTTTCAAGCTGTTGACATAATTTATTTGAGAAAGGATGCAGAATTTGGGGGCTTCATGTTCTTAGATGCGCTCTGTTTTATGTTATTTTAAAAAATGGGAAAATTAAGACAATTTAACATTAGACTTTCATAATTTGATATTGTGTGAGGTCTGTACTATATCTGGAGTTTTGATACAGATACAGATTGCATTTTATCAGACTTGCTTGGTTTTAAGCACTGTGCCTTTGTAATCAAGACTTGAATAGTTATATATGATATATGTTGTGCATTCCTGCATTGGTGTACTGTACTGACATTAACAAAATCTTTTCTCTTAACTCTTACAGAACCCTGCACTGTAAAAAGAGAAGACATGAGCAAACACAATATTCAATTCAGATATGTCAGCGATGATAAGCTGTATTCAGAACATAATGATGTAATTGAGTTCATATGTAGCAGGGGAAGACGTGTTGGCAGTTTGGAAATGCGTCAGACGTGCATTGAAGGCGTAATGCATCTGCCCACATGCCAGTAACATTTCTGTCTATTGGATACGATGAGCATGAGCACGCAAATCTATAAATGATTAGTGCACTGATGTGTGTGGTCATTTTAATAAAAGCCTATGTACTCAGTCTGTGTTCTTCCAGTACATCTTTTTTTTTTGTGTAAAATCAAAGTCATTCATAAATCCTTTGTGGACAAATACACAAAATGGTGGCCCTATCTTTCCAGTCTGAACATATTCTGATTAAATAAAGATAACAAAAAGAAGTAAAAAATAAATAAAATAACAAACTCCCTCCCTTTGGCAGGAGATCATACCTGCTATTAAAGTGTTTTTGTAACCTAGATGAGCACACACATGTACACACATGTAACAGTAATTGCATGTAATGTTATTTTAATAAAAGCATCACGGGGTCTGTTTTAATTCTTACATAAGTTTAACTCTGCTGAAAGTCTTGGGGCTTTGGGTTTCATGGCCTAACAATGAAACAACCCCTTTTCCACAGTCTTTTTAGGCCTGGAGTCCAGCATCCACTTATCATTTAAGTTGAGTTACTTTTGCCTTCCCACCAACTCGATGCATTCTGGCCATTCTCCCTTAACCCCTGGCATCAGCGAGGCTCTATCAGCAAGAAAACTGCGCATCACTGGATATCTTCTCTTTTTCTGAAAATTCTTTGTAAACGCTAGCAAAGTACATTTGAAAGTCCTGTGCTTTGTACACCTAACCACCTATCCAGTCCTTCTCCGTAGCACTTGTACAAAAGGAGTCCAAGGTTGTATTTAAATAGAGACATTTGGACAGAGCCACTGGACAGTCTGTGCTGTGACCTGATCTCTCTGGGTGGAGTTCGAGCTGGGGGAGGTCACTGAACAATGAAGCTACTGAAATTCTCCTCAGAAAGCATTCGTCAAAAGAACATGAAGCTGTCTTTAATCCTTCTGTTTCTCCAGCTGTGGGGGTGTGTGGAAGTTTCTTTGTCACAAAACGGTAAAGTGATCTATTATCGTTTTTCAGTGTACCTAAAATCACATGTTTTACCTTTGTGGAAAGGCAGTTAGACTTTAAGAAGAGTGACATATACACTGCGTGTGGTCATCACAGGTATTTACTTACAGCAGGGGGAAAAGCACAGTATGAATGTAATTGTCTTATTTTTACACTATTACAACTATTTGAATTTACATGCATTCACACAACCCTAAAATATGTATATTTTTGTGTTAACATACATATATATGGTAGTAATATAATGTAGGACAAAATAGTAATTATAGATGATTTTACTACTTGCTATGGGTTTTTTGCTTGTTTTTGTTTTATTTTGGGGGTTTTCTTTGAAGGGGGGGGGGGGGGGGGGGGGGGCTCTAGTAATTTTATACTTATACTTATTTTTTCCCTTTACCATTAATGGTAATTAATGGTACATTTCTTATATTACTCTTTAATTATGTATGTCAAACATAAATCCTGCTATCTGTGTTATTAGGTGAAGTATATCCACAAATTATGTAGATGCAACTGTTTTGTGGTCTTAACCATTTAGGAGAATGGTTGTAGACATACTTTGATTTTGTAACTGTTTTCCTTGTAGAGCTTCAGTCATTGTTTTTTAACAACTTTATATGTGACGAATTGTAACTTTTTCTCTTTTAGTGTGTTCAGAGCTCCCAAATGTTCCTCACGCTCATGTGTCAGAAGGAACCAGCAAAGCTGTGTACCAGGAAGGAGATGTGATACATTTTTCTTGTGAATCTGGTTACATATCAGATCAGATCTCGAAATTTGTATGCACAGCTGATGGTTGGCTGGTTGTCCATCAGGGAAAGTGCTACTGTAAGTTGCATGGCTTCATGTTTTTATCATCACTAACTAAACTTGTGCTATTGCTGCACTGTGGATGTAATAACTCATGTAAATGTGTTTTTTTTTCTTATATTACTAAATCGTCAAAAACTCTACAGTCATGAAAAGTGTATGAATACCTCAATTATGTATATTACAGAGTGCATATTTTGTTTTTGTTAGGGTTCATTAATGACAGCATTACCCTGACTCTTACTCTAACCCAACCATACTACATGCTATGTACCCCCAAAAAATGTCACGTGAAAAGCTAAAAAAATGAAACACAAAAAGTTGTAAAGCATACCAAGAGCAGCATTAATAAATGGATTTTCATAGGATCGACCCATTACACGTCAGGTAAGGCGTTGGGTTTAGAGCTAAATAGGTACATTTTCTGGAGGCACACAATAGGCCTGGTTATAAAAGTAAAAAAGTATCACATCAGAAAGATTGTTCCAAAGCATGATTACCCATGTTCCTCTGCTCAAATTTGGTGATGGCCAGCAGAGCTCAGCCAGCCTCAACAACCCTTGACCTAAAACAGGGGTCAGCAACCTTTTAACACCCAAAGAGCCACTTGGACCCGGTTTCCACGCAAAAGAAAACACTGGGAGCCGCAAATACTTGTTGACATCAAAAATGAAAATAACACTGTATATATTGTTTTTTTACAATATATACAGCACTATGCTGCTAAAAAATGAAAAATAGATATTTGCAAAATTCTGCCTAAATATGTATTTTACCTGGTTAATGTGTGTGGCGAGGCGTGGTCTGCAGCGCCACTGCATGGGAGTCGGACGCACCTGAGCGGGACCCGCAATCACGCCTCGTCTACTTAAAGTCTCTGCTCTCTCTGCTCTTGTGTTGTCGGACTGTGAGCTGAAAAGCTACAGCCGGCTGTATGCTTACAGCAACCGTGTGTGAAGAGTGGTCAATAAAGAGATGCTGAAAAGCGTGTCCATGGAAACATTGTCGGGTCTGCTGTGATATGTTTACAATGAGACTTCTGCTCCTGAACCTCTGCGCACAGCGTCTGCAAATCGGGGCTGTACGAAGTCACTTTCATCTTTACGCAGGACTGTAAGCTGTCATCTGTGAGGCGTGAGCGGTGTTTGTTTTAACATAGTTCACGGAGGAGAACAGCTGGTGACATAATGTGGATCCGAAGATCCATAATTGGCCTACCTGGGGTTGAAAGTCTCTGTGAATGCACGGCGTTTCGGCGGGTATACCGGCTTCCGCGAGTGTGATGCTTATTTTGAGCGATGAAAAATAAAATATAATTCTATTTTTATATTTCAATGTCACAATAATCTTCCAATTTAGAACTACAAGTTTAAAAAGAACTAATACAAAAAATACACTTCAGCTAAATACTTCTAATTTATTTTCCCAAACCACCTGGAGCCGCAGTATAAAGACAAAAGAGCCGCATGCGTATCCGGAGCCGCAGGTTGCCTGTCCTAACACAACTGCACATTACTGGCATTACTATCGTTCGTAGCAATGACGGGTAGTCATTTCCTTATACACACATGTATATCTTGGCTTAGTCACTCAGTATGTTTTCAATCTTTGTGTATTTTTCTCTTCTTTTCCCATTTTATATTGTTTTGTGTATTAGCATGTTCAACGCTTCCAGATGTTCCCCATGCCCAAGTAACACAAGAGACAAGAACATCTCAGTATCAAGCAGGACACATGATACATTTTGCTTGCGAACCTGGCTATACATCAGCTCTCACCATCAAATACGTATGTACAACTGAGGGCTGGCAGCCACTCCAAAGGGGGTCGTGCTACCGTGAGTTCAAAAGCTTTCTTTTCTTCTCTCACTCTCATGTGAATGACTACAGTTCAATAAGCAGAGATCATTAAAATGAATTTAACATAATTTATTGATCTATAGAATTCAATTTAGGTTGTTGGTGATTACACTCTGGAAATGAAGATTGAGGCTTGAATGGAAGCCTGGGAGAATGACCGATGAGCAGTGAGATTTAAAGTACATGGAGTGGAGACTGATTGGCCGGAAGACAGCCAGCAGAAATCTGATTGGGCTAGACCAGTGATTGCACAATTAGCTTCACAGCATGGGAAAGTGGAAATGATGTAAAGCTTAGATTAGCCAACAAACACCAGGGAAGCAGAAATGTGTGACTACAGATTGTTCTTATTGAACTTACGTATGAACTTCATTTGGTATTATCTCCTTGGACATATAATCTCATTTACTCAGATGTGTCCTGCCTTCATTAAGACTGCTATGACGGTCTTTATTTCTATATATATTTTTCCTGCACACAGGCAAAATCAGAATTTAATTCTAAATGATTTTTAATATGTAGAGACTTTGTCATGTCAGATCAGACTCCAAATATATTTGAATTCACATCAGTCATCATTTTATTCAACAATGTTTCTGTCAAGTCATTATGAAATATGACCCAGCATCTCGATGTCAGAAAGATCAGTTTAACCCTCTGGGGTCCAGGGTATAATTGGCCATTTTTGACTACTTGTTTGGTATCATTATTTTCAGCACAACCTGAAATATCTGAAATTTGAGTTATTTTTTCATTTTGGCATACTATATTACCATAGTTGATCTAAATTCAGAGAAAAAATTCAAAATCCGAGTAGAAAAAAGTTATATTTTTTTACTGTAAAACCCACAAACATGTTTAACGAATCATTTTCATAACTTGAAATGCAAATAGAAATTGTACATTTCTAAATATTATGCACAAGTTTTGCAAAGAAAGTTATATGGTACTATTTAACTAAAAATGCAGCCAATGCCTCAGGCATATAACCGTTTAAATCTATTTACAGAACAATCAGGTGATCTGCAACAAATAAGAAAGCACACAAATTATTTGTGCCATGTGTTTTCAGTCATTCCTTCAGGTCGTCTGCTCGTCCACACCATGTCTTTAGGTATCATGTCAGTTCTCCATGTTTAAGGTTTTTTCATGTTTAATTTTTAGTTCACCCAGTTTAGGTTATTGTTTAGTTTCACCCATGCCCTTTGTTTGTATTTATTTTGCAAGCCTTAATAAACTGCTTGTTTTTTGTTAATCCACATCACGTTTCATAGTTTTTGGTTTGCACTTGAGTCCTTTTTCACAACACATACAGTCTGCCTCAGCCAGACTGTGACAGAAAAGTCAGACTTACTGACAGGTCAAAAACTATTCACATTTTTTCCAGAAGCATTGTATTTTTTCTTTCACCAAAATATAGGCTAGAGTTAAAGTTAGCCACCCTACATAAGGGAACTTATAGGGTTAATGAATTAAATCTTAGCGTGTTAAACTGACACAGCAGATGGTTTGCTTACACAGGTTGTCCTTGTAAACAGTTTGCAAAGGGCAGATATTTTGAAACTATTTGCCTGGAAATTAGATAAACGTTTTCCATTCCAGGGTGGAATGATTGCATGTCATACATCTTTTTAAAAAAAATTGAGTGCTCAATGTTAAATCAGTCATTCCACACTTAAAAACAGGATTTCAACAATCATTCAAAGCCCAAAATTACAATGATATCCATGTTGATCCGTGATGATTGTAAAACTTTTGACCACAGCTGTAGTTTTGACAGTGGTTTATCTCCACTGGTCTGAACCTTCGTGTCTCCAGCACAAATACAGACACACATTGAAACCTGGCAAAATGGATTCTGACATGATCTGGCAAATATAAAAACTGCAGCAAATATAAAGATTCTGGCCAGTGATTTCTACATCTGAATCTTGCCTTTTGAACTGTTTTTTTTCTTCTTCTTCTACCTTAGTTTCATCTTCCAGATGTGACCCTCCTCCTACAGTTCAAGGGTTAACAGTGAAAGGTTTACCAGTAAATTGTATTCCCATACGTCCCAATCACATCCTCACATTCAGCTGTGATGGTCCTGGGAAGTATCTGAATGGAATTTCTGTGCTGATATGTGGAGAAGACGGACAATGGAATAATCCATTCCCGACTTGCATAGGTAAGAACATGTTTAAATCCCTTTACTGACAAAATGCAATGCCTGTTTAAACAATATGGCAATAGTTCAGGTTTGATCTTTGTGTATTTTGAAGCATAATTTAAATATCCAATAAGATTTCATGATTTTTTCCGCTCTTCTGGTGTTCACTAAAACCAACTACTCTCTTGCTTGCTCTTTGCAGCTTTGTTACATAAACTCACATATATTCTACATATTTTGCTTTTTTCAGATCGATCTTGTAAAATCGGTGTTATGGATCCTCATCTCTACGTAGCTGGATTATCACCATCAAATGAAATAATGGCGACTGGACATAAATTGCGTTTTCTTTGCAGCAATACACGTGTACTAATTGGGTCTACAGAAATTGAGTGTTTAGAAAATGGACAATGGAATTCCCCCTTTCCTTCTTGCTCTGGTATGTGTACTTTTATTACCACAATGACGTGAGGTAACAGAAATGAGCTGTGACTATGATAAGGGTTTCTGTTTTAAGTTGCTGTTAGGAGCAATTTTGTATTGCAGGAAAACATCAGCATTCTGTAGCAGTTGTGTTGTTGCCCTTGTATCACATAAATCATTAATATAATGATCCTGATGAACCCTGTAAGGTCAAAGTCATCATAGGAAGTATTCTAATCCTAATCCTATATTTTTGATCTGCTGTTTATGTCTAATATTGTAGGTTCTTGAGATAACGGCTGTTGTGAACTAGCATCACATAAATATTACTGAACTGGATACATTTTCCAGTTTTCATCTTTTTAATCTTTCCTAATCATTTTAAGAAAGAGACACCTGTCTATTTGGAAAATGTCTCTTCATGAACGTATTTTTTATACTGAAATCTTTTACTTTCAAGTTTTTTTTATATATTGAAAATGTAATGCTGATTTATTCAGATATTTGCATCACATTTGGTTTCTTGTTCATACTGTAAATCTCATAGTAAAACAGATTCTCTTCTTCAAAACACAGAAATGTTCAGTCCCTTAAGTACCCACCAGTTTAAGGTGCCAGTTTAAAATATATATTTGCTAGTTTTGTTCTCCCTGTTATGCTGTAGCTAAAGGAGATTTGTTGAGGTTTAATGTAAATGATTGAAGTTTGATACCATTTTAATCTAAAATTAACAAGGGGATTTGAAAGCTTAGTTGTCTAAGGCAAAAATGCACACTGAAACTAGAATGAAATTAGAATATCGGGTTTTTGTTCAAAACTATTCAGTTTCGAATGATATCCAATGACTGATAGCTGTGGTTATCAATATCTGTCAACAATAGGGAATTTTCTCTGCCGAGATATCATTTCATTCACTGTTGATCAGTCTGCCCTGCTTAAAGGAAATAATGGGCAACTATTGTCCACATTAGAAGACTCAAGTGTGAAGAACTTTTATAGGAATTAAGGTTGTATTTTTCTGCCAGGTGCTGCTAATTAAATTCACTACATTAAACAGATCGTCAGCAATCATTAGCACTGCTATAAACACAGATGTTTTGGTAGTTTGTTCATCTGGATCATTCAGTGTGTGTTAACATATACTTCCCAGCAATTGAACAGTTATTCGTCAACTCAGCTAAACAATACCTATGAAGAAAAGAGCTCACTATAGTACATCAAAATAAACTATTGCTGTGAATAAGATTTAAAACTGGAGTCAAGTTAAAAACACTGCTGGCTGTCATTCTGCCTGCTGACATATTTCATCTTTATTCATCTTTTTTTCTCTACACTTGGTTAAGGGTAGAATTGCCATTCTTTTCTGACTTCTTAAAAGACTGGACATTTATTACTTCTTAATTACAGCAATGAGAAACTGAATGCCTATTAATAATAAATATTTAAAGAAAAACTTGCTTAGTTTGAAAATGTAGTGAGAAAGTGTCTTATTACTTTGAATCTGATTTGGTTTCATGTTTATAATGTAAACCTCACAATAAAACAGATTCTCTTTTTCAAAACAGAGAAATGTAGAGTCCCTGAAACACCAGCAGGTCTAACAATCACCACAGATGTAACAGACGATCAAATGAAAAAAGGACAACATCTAACATTTGCTTGTGAAAACAGTAATCACATCATCAAAGGGAATGCAACGCTTGAATGTTTGGAAAATGGACAGTGGAGCAATCCTCTTCCCACATGTGAAGGTACAACACTTGTCCTCTTGTGATCTTACTGTTTATCAGTACAAAGGATGGAAAAAGATTGCTATTGCTGTTTTTGGTATTTCTTGGGGTGTCGTGTGTATGAGTGTAAGTTACACACACTTTAAACCAGAAATTAATAGTTGGTTTTGAGGCAAAAACACATTTCAGGTTATCAGTAAAATGTCCTCTGCCTGATCTGCTCTTGTGCTAATTAGTTTGTGTGAACATTGTTTCTGGTTAATTCTTTGTCACACATGGCCACACAGTGTTAAGGTAAAGGAGAGTGATGCACAGGGTGTATGACAAATATTTCACTTCAAATGAAAAATGATGCATGACAGCAGGTCAGAGTGAAAATGTGATTATTGTGACAAAATATTATCTAATGTTGGTTTTTCCTCTGTTATTGCCCACAATTTTTAGCTGCCAAGCAATGTAGGACGCCACCACGTCTTTCAGGTGGACAGACCAAAACAGCGACTAGAAACACGTACAGACACAATGAAAAGGTCGAATATGTGTGTGACAGAGACTACGGCATGGAGGGTGGGCCGTTCAAAACCTGTGTCGATGGTGATTGGGTTGGAGAGATGAGATGCCGCCGTGAGTTACATTTCCCTTTTGTTGCACACAAAGTTTTTAAATATGTTCTAAGTAAACAAACAGCCAGTGGAGGGCCGCTGGAACCAGTTTGACAAGTTTATTAAATCTGAGAAGTTGGTTAAGTGTGACGCTGAAAAGTTGTTTTCACTAACACAGACAGTAGCTCAAAACTGTTTGAAATGTGGTGCATTTAAGATTATACCTGAACACACCACAATGTAGACTTCAGGGTTAGTTGCAGTTATATCATTAAATAATAATATTAATACGAACAAGAAGAATTCGTTTTTATAGAAACCTCTGTAATAACCCACCATCCCCAAACTGTGCTGCAGCTCTGAGAACATCACAATGGCTTCAGTTCTTAAGTGGATGGGTTTCACTTGTTCACCACCCACTACTTCTCCTAGATACACTATTGCAGTCTTTGAGTCACACTTTGAGAGATTTAATGTCAGGTTTGCCTTTTCACGATTTCAGTGTTTTTAAGTGGCCCTCTATCATTGCCACAGACATCACACATTTCATCACCAGTTAACATGGGTTACATGGAGGAACAGGGAAATACAACATGCTATGGACATGTCAGAGGAAATGTGAGAACCTGATGAGCACACACGAACCATAGAAGAGTTTGAACTTTAAAAAAAAAATAAATTGTTTTTTCACAATAAAATGATTAAAACAATTAAAAGGATAGGATCTGTAAGATGTGGGAGAAGGCAGTAGATGAATATATCAAAGAAGCAGATCATTTCAACAGCAACATGAGTTTGATACCAGTACAACACAGTTTATCATTAGTTACAAAGAGTGCTGACTGCTTTCTAAGCATAACAGAACTACATATATAGGATGACAAAGCAGTCTTAAAGGCTGTGATCTGCACTCGGATTGCATGATGAAAACTTCACCTGAAATGTAAAATAATATGTGACGGTATATGAACATAAAAACGTGACTAAAAAATTATTGTGACTAAATGTTGTCTAAACTTTTTTTTTCTCCATTGCTCACACTTTTGCAGGTGCCCAGGGTTGTGGGAGGCCACCACCTCTTTCAGATGGAGACACCAAAACAAGTACTAAACATCTGTACCAACATAATGAAAAGGTTGAATATATCTGTCAGCGTTATTACGTCATGAAGGGTGGACCGTTCAAAACATGTAATCATGGTGAATGGACTGGAGAGATTAGATGCCTCCGTAAGTAAAAGTTTTCTTTATATTTTTCATGTTACATTCTGTGAAGAGAAACGTAAAAAGTCATTTTGGTTTTTGTTTTTTAATTTTGTTTAATTCCAGAGGTGTGATCGATATTTACAAAAATATACACAACTGCTTGTGAGCCTCTCAAGATGAGAAACTATGTATAAAATATGAAATTAAATATGTTATTCACAAACAGCGAATGCATTACTTTGTTGAAGCCCTTCAATAAACATCTTGTCACGGTCCTGGGTCGGTTCGACCCAGTATTTTGAGTTTCTTATGTTTTGGTTTATTTTTGTATTATGGAGTAGTTCTTATTCTCTGGTGATACCGTTTTGATTATAATTATATTCTGATTCTTTAGTTATCCAATGATGATGACGATGATGATTATTTCTGGTTTAGGTTTTGTTATCTTGCCCTCATGTTTGGTTTAGGTTGCCTGTGCTTAGTCTTCTCTGCCCGTATGTCCCTCTGTTTGCCCATGACGTCATTATGCCTGTTTACGAGTCTGTGTCTCTGTCTGTCGTGTGCTTCCTGTTTTATTTTGTAGGTCTGTGTCCTATGTCAGTGCGTTCAGCTTTGTGCTCTCCCTGTCTCGTCAGTGTAATCAGCGTCAGCCGTGTCTCCCAGCTGTTTCCTCTTCGTTCCGTTCACCTCTTGTATTTAGTGTCTGTGTCTTCCCCTACTCGGTGTCGCGTCGTTAATGTCTGTTCACCCTCGCTTCCTCTGTGTGTTCCGTTTGCCAGCCAGCCTACCTGCCTAGTTATTCTGTTCTTCCAGTTGAGTTAGTGTTTTTCTGTTCTGCTTCTTACCAGCAATAAAGCTGTGTGTTTTGAGTTACTTCCGCCTCAGTGAGTCCTGCATTTTGGGTCCTCTCTTCCTGCCTGCCTACACACAGACATGACACATCTTGACTGTTCAGTTTAAAATCCACTGTGGTGGTGTACACTGAAAACATTTAAAATACAGACAAAAACATTCATTTGTGACAGAAAGTCCAGAACCCTTTACTGTTAAGCTGAATTTTGGAAATTTGTCCAAAAAAAGCAAGACTGGATTTTTGAGAACTTAATGTCATAGATCAAAAACTCCCAAAGGCTGTATCTATCAAATATGATACACTAGGTATTGGGGGGATAAAACGCTTTGAGGCATGTTGTGTTTGACATAAGAAATCACCAGGTACAAAATCATTTCTCACTGTGTGGTTAGTAGGGTCTGAGGTTTACTGAAAAAAATCTTTTGTTTGATGAGATGAGCATCAAGTAAGAAATTCTTTAATTGTTTCTTCTGTTGACTTCAGGTAATTCTAAACAATAGTCATGATGACGTTGAATTGTGGTACAGGGCCCTGCTGTAATTTTTTTATCTGGGTTTTTAGGCCAGTAAGGTCAGTGGGTCTGAAATGTTTCTAAGACTCAAATTATGGATATATTTAGTAAATAATAAAGTTTTCAAATCAGTTCTAATATAAAAAGCAGCTGGTGAATGGACGCTGGAACCAGTGAATGAGCTGTCTCCCTCAAAAACCTGTTAACATCCCAGCTGCTGATTCTAGTAATAATCTAGTAAAAAACATGTAGTTGTTGCATTTGGTGAAGCTGTATATATGGAGATTTTTTAGGTAGTTTTTCAAAGTTCAAAGAGCATGACTGAAGTATTTATGATACTGTGTGTGGTTCAAACCTCAGAACTGTGTTAAGTATTGGAGTGAAAGGTGCAAGCAGGAATTCTGATTAATTATTAATTCTTCATTTAACAAAGTGTGCAGTCTAGAGATATAATAACAGCATATTGACTTAAATGAATATTTAGTCTGAAAAACAAATCATCATTTCTGTTGAAGGTTATTATATCACATTTGACCGATGAACTGCAATTCAAAACCTTTGGGACAAAGCTCACTTCAAACTGACAGCAATAAATAACAATAAATAAATAATAATAAAGTTAATTCTAGCAGCAAGATATGAAATCAAATCACAATTTAAAATCAACAAGTGATCCAGATTCCTGAAATTCTGTATGTTTATCTAAAAGAAATAACAGAAACTAATTTACTTATTTGGAGAATGAGTAAAATAAATGAGTAGGTTTACATTGAAATGTGACTTCCAAGATTCAAGATTCCTTATTTGTCGCATGCATAGTTATACGAGTACAACACGCAGTGAAATGTATCCTGACGCACTTCTCGACTGTGTAAAAAGAGAGAGAGAACATTATGTACATGCAAAAAGAGAGAACATATATACATATAACCATAAAAGTGAATTAAATAAAATAAGACAATCTGGAAATTTCAAATTGAAACATCTGAAAAATGTACATTGTGCAGGTGGGTATTAAAGTGTCTAGTACTGTAGTGAGGCTGAGAGGAGTCAGGCTGGGATGGACAGGACTTCAGCATGTAAAATAGTCACAGAAATATTACATAAAATTAACAGTGAATGTAATCACCCCACAAGAGCAACAGCAACAGTAGATCATCTGTGTACCATTCCAGCGTTTGACCACAATTTAGAATTAGGCAGGAGAAAATCAAATTTTTTTGTAGCCACAGAGTCCTTTACAGAACACAATATTCTGTACATTCATGTATTTTACTAACATTAAAAGACTGTTTATCTTTTATGTCTTACAGAACCCTGCACTGTGAATAGAGACGACATGAACAGACATAATATTCGGTTCAGATTTTCAAGAGATGATAAACTGTATACAGAACATGATGATGAAATCGAGTTTACGTGTACCAGAGGAAGACCCGTTGGGACACTGGGAATGCGTCAGAAGTGTGAACATGGTGTGGTACATTTGCCGACTTGCCAGTAACGCTTTTGTGTACAAGACTAGATAAACACGAGTACACCAATGTGTCAATAATTGAAGAGCAGATTAAAGACATAGACCAGTGAAGTACCAGTGCTGTATGTGGTCATTTCAATAAAACGTAATAAATGCTGACTGAGTCTGTTTTCTGCTTCTATGTGTTTTCTCAGGGAAATCAATCTCGCATAAATCTTCTACCACAAATACAGAACAAATATACAGAATTTGGCTTTATTATTTAATAAAGGTTGCCAAGCAACTGAATGTTGAATACTGACGAGACCAAGACAGGTAGGATCTTGTTAGCTTCACATTTGTGAATTTCTAGTTAAGCAAGGACACTAGAAGCGTAAGACAGTTTCTGGGAGCAGTTGACAATTTTGAATACATTTCCAAAGGTTTCCTACATTGTGATGGTGTTTGATAACAAATCTGCTTCCCACACATATTTCAGCGAAGAAAATCTTTCCTCTGTGGATGAAGTTGCAATAACACTGAGAAATATTTCTGCAGCCTCTTCTGGCTGAAAAAGTTATCAAATGCTCTGCATAAAAGTTGTACTTGACTGATGTTTGTTTAATCATAAAACCTGTTGTTCTTTCTGTAGTTGCTAAGACTTTTCTCTTTCATTGCATGTATAATCATTGAGACAATAAAACCTGACATGTACTTCCCTCAATAATGCAATCTGTTGTCCGTTATTCGTTGGTGCTCTAGAAGAAAAACTCATTTCAGGAATTTTGAATTTAACAATTCGTCCAGTCCAACTGAGGATTTGTTCCTACACTCAAATACAACCCATACGAGCATTTGCAAAAACAGCACACCTACAGATTGGTTTAAGTCATATCTTTCTAATAGGTCTTTCTCGATCAATTTTGGCCCGTGTTTCTCCTCTGCTGCACCTGTCTCTTATGCTTTTATATGCATTTCTTTTGCTTCTGTGTTTTTAATTCCATTTAACATGCTTGCATGGTGGTACTTTGCCATAGCCTTCATCCTCCCTGTTACTTCATCTTACCCTCTTGTATGTTAAGCACTTTGGTACACCACTGGTTTTAAATGTGCTATTTAAATACAGTTTGTTGTTGTTCTTGTTGTACAAGTGGCAGACCCAACACAACAACATATCATGCGATGACCGATAAATAGTACTTCACTTTAAGAGCATTTGTATTTCATGTCAATAGTCCCTAAAGACTACACTGAGATGAGATAGTGTCATTTTATGACCAACTTTTTATTAACAGCACATAACTAAAAGCCCTGAGCAGAAACAGAAAAAATAAACTTTTAAAGATGGGCCTCAATTTTTGTTTTTAGCCTCCAGCTTGCATTTATTTATGGGGTTAATTTATGTTTGATTAAACATAACATTTGTATTAAATTAAATTAAGAATAAACAGTTATCATATTGTTACGAGTTCAAAATATTGGGGATGGAGACAAGATGAAAAACCAAAAGAACAACACTGGTCCGGTCGGGTTCAGTCAAACAATGATTTTAATGATCACACGCGTGGGAGATAAACACCGTATGCAGACAGCATCAGATCTCAAAATGGTGGAGCATTGCTCAAACTCTTATAGCTTCTGGTCCTCCCACCTTATCATAAAAGCCTAAACATTCAAATTCCTTCTCTCACGGCGCCTAAGCTACGACCTTGGCTCCCTCTTTATCTGCTCCTGCTGAGATGGAGCAGAAAGCTCCAGTATGCTCTGTTCTCTTCTAATCAGACAAATAAGACGATGACTTTCTGCGAACAGTATTTCTTATAACTTAGCAGTATAATGCATCATAAAACAACATCATTCATTCACAATAAATCAGCAGTCTAAGGTAATGCAAATCAGTCTAACAAATGCAATAGTTATCAGCTTCTTCTAATTCAGGAGAATAATGCAAACTAAAACTACATAATAATTCACAATCTTTAATTAGGCATAAAATAATATTATAACCCAACATTATATTTGACAATATTCAGTTCCAAAAAAAATCTGGCCGTAAGTACTGGAATACCACTAACTCCACATCAAAAACTTACCAATAAACGCCAAACAGAATCTAAAGTCTGCAAATTATTTTCTAATTCAAACTTACTTAAATATTTTATAATTTATAGAGAGGTGTTGTTAAACATGTCAGTGTCACAGAAGCGTGGCAGACCTAACCACATTGTCACACCCAAACACACTTTATTTCTTGGTTACTGTTCTTACAATAGCTGCCAGCCAGACACATTCACAACAGCTACAGCAGGACCCAGTACAGACTTTAAGCCGGCGAGGTGTGATTGAGGTGCCGCTTATGTGGACTGGACTGGAATTCTCTTTCTGTCAGTGGGTCCAGATTTTATGAGCAGAGAAGAACAAACAGGTAAGTTGAGGTCACAGAGCCAAACTATTAACATAGAGATTCAAAGGAGTCAACTAATTATTTCCATTTTAACAATCAGGTGTCACATGATGATTACTATAACTTTCTAATGTGATGATGTTGTCTCTTGTTGGCTCTCTTTCTCTCTCTTTCCCTCCCACTCTGTTCCTCTGCTACTGCCAGTGTAACTACCGCCGCCCCCCTCCCTGCTCAACGCAAGCGCAAACCGCGGTAAAGTGAGCCATCATTTGTGAGCCGCGGTCAAGCCAGCCGCTTCTTCTCCGCCGCATAAATTTCCTTGCGCTTTTACACCAGTCTTTACGGTAGCGCCTTTTCGCTTTATATCCTGATTGAAAGCCTAGACCCGTGCACACGTGCGCGCGCGCGAACAGTAACACGCGCACGCGCGCACACAAATTACAATGGAACAGCCCAATACAATCAATACAATTATGGAAATTTCAAAAATTCATTCAAAATCATCCTTAGTAGTTGAGGTCCGACTTTCAACACATCCCTCCTCTCGGACACCTACTGTACCTGTGTGCCAAGTTTCATCCAGATTTACTGTAAAATTCCTCAGAAATTAAAGGACATTTATATGCCATTCAATACAGCCAATATACTACAATTATGGAAATTTCAAAAATTCATTCAAAATCATCCTTAGTAGTTGAGGTCCAACTTTCAACACATCCCTCCTCTGGGACACCTACTGTACCTGTGTGCCAAGTTTCATCCAGATTTACTGTAGAATTCGTCAGAAATTAAAGGAAATTTATATTCAACGCAATACAGCCAATACAATAGAATTATGGAAATTTCAAAAATTCATTCAAAATCATCCTTAGTAGTTGAGGTCCAACTTTCAACACATTCCTTCTCTGGGACACCTACTGTACCTGTGTGCCAAGGACCTCAACTACTAAGGAGAGGTGGAGGAAGATCTCAGCCTGGGCGTCTATTGTCTTATGTAGTCTGGAAGATGAGTGGATGGTGGGGTGGGTGCAGTTTTCTCTGTGGTGGGGTTGGGTGGACTGTCCCGGGCTCTGTGGGGCCGGGCGGTGCTGCTGCACTGGGCCCCGGTCTGGATGGGCCTGGGCCCCCTTTCCCTGGCGGGTCGTGGAGTATGGGGGTGCCTACTGGGGTCAGCAGGGGAGCTGGCCCCAGGGAGGGGTCACTTGCCCCTCCCTTCCTTCCCTCCCCATCTCCAGCTGCCTCCCGCTCCACCACAACCACCCACACATGCAGGGCCTTGGAGTAGGGGTATGTCACCAGGGTGCAGAGGAGGCTACCCCCCCCCCCCCCCCCCCCCCTTTGTCCCCTTCCGGCTGCCTCTGCCTCAATTTTATCCCACAACTTAGACATTCCCATTACTCACACCCTCATTACACATACATATAGGATCTTGGGGGTGGGCACGATACACGGAATCCAAATTACCATCAGGGTGTACACCTCACCCCTGGCGTCGTTGCCCACCTCTCAATTTTAAATACACGTAGACATTGAGGGCTAGCAGGAGGGACCATGCGCTTACCTGCTGCTCTCTGGCAGGTAGCTCCATGCCCTCCTGGGTTTTAAATGCACCTTAGAACACACATGCATCAACATTACAATGAGCGGGTGGAGGGAGGTTTGGAGTCTTCTCTCACCCCCGTTCTCTGCGACCTGCTGGAGCGGGGGGGCTAGGAGGAGGAGTTGGCCGTCCGACTGCGGTCTGGAGTGTGGGGCCTCCCTGCTGCTGCGGAGTCGGGGCGGTCTGCCTCTCCCCACCGCAGGGAAAAGGGTAACACCACCTGGGTCTGGGCGCAGTCCCCCCCTCCAGGGGCAAGGGTACCTAGACCCGGTTCGTAGAGTACGCTTGGGGAGTGTGATCGTGTGTACAGCGTCTCTTTATGTCCGTCTCCACGTTGGTTGAGTGTGGAGTAAGTGTATATGAGAGCAGGAGGGTGGGAATGGATGTTTGTGTCTGTGTGTGCCTGTATGTCTGTGTCTATATGTCAGGTTGGGTATCAGACGCCACCTCTCTGGGGACATCTCAGGCCCTCCAAGGTTTGGAGGCCTATCTCCCCCCCCACCACTTCCCCTGCCAGTGGCGGACTCCCTCAGACATCGGTGCGTTGGTGGTTCTTTGTGTCTGGGGATGGGCGTCCAGGTACACACCGGCTCACTCCTTGGCGGCCGCTTATGGAGCCTGGGGCTCGCTCGGGCCACTTCGGAGGTGGGGTGCCCCCGACCTCTCGGCCTGGGGCTCGGTCACTCAGGCACAGCTGGCTGCCGGCGGAGCTCACGGGCGCGTCACTGCAACCCCCCTGGCTTCTGCTCCGCGGCTGCTGGGTGAGCCCTCATCTGGGACTCTCCTCAGCTCTTTCTGGGACAGTGGCGCAGCTGCCCCTCTGTTGGTCTTCCTTGGTCTCTTGTGTTCTGGGGGCCTCTGGATGTCTGGAGTTTTGATCTCCTCCATACCTGCTTCATGCCCTGGAGGACGGGGCAGTGGCTCCCCCACACCCTCTAGCAGATTATTACACGAAGGAACCTTTTAAAAACAAGCGCGTTCATGCTCACAGGTGTACACATGGGTGATCACACCCACAAACTACACCCCTTTTGGCTCCTACCTCAAAGCACACTGTGTTCTGCTGATCTTATGTGCTGCACAATAATGTTTAATATTTAGTATTTACTGTCATATTCCCATATATCATTGTGATGTTGTTTATTATATTACTCTTGTTTTCTTCTGCTTGTTTTC